AAAAAAAAACTGCCTTTGCATGACTAGGTACATCTGGAGGCGGGAAATTGATAGTCGAGAAGTCGCCAGGCGCTCTAGCCATCATTCCATGGTGTGGACCACCTGGAGCGGCTCCGACAGACCCTGGACCAGCGTGTTTATTGGGAGGATTCGGTGAGCGGAAGGGATCACTGAAGAATTACGTTTAAGGACGTTGATAAGATAAAGGAAGCACATTCAAAACTCACTTCATCGGAGGATTATAGTCATTGAGCAAGCCAGCAGCGGACATCGGTCCGCTATGGGGTCCACCGGGAACACTGCCGGGTCCTGAAGGTGCTGCATTAGCCCCACCTCCGGTATTCGATGCCGGGGCCGGAGATCCAAACTGAGCCATTGGGTCTACCGATTGTGGGCCGCCTGGACCCATACTACCACCTCCTACTGATCCAGGAGCTCCAACAGATCCTGGTCCTAACAATTGGCTCATATCTTGTAACGCTGCAAATAGTTTAAATTAATTATTTCACAGTGTTCAGAAGATAAGGGAAGACTACGTATTAGGGTTAAACTCTGACATAGCTCACTTCCAGCCGCTGACGGTTGATTCTGAATACTCTTCAGAGGTTTGCAAACGGGACAATCGTCACGATTACAGTTCTTCCAATGGGCAATGATTTGCCTTGAAGAGGCACAGTGGGCATCTGGATGAAAAAATGTTCTTGAACTGAACGGAAAAACACTGGAAATCATTTCAAGATGCTTACAAGTGCACTGTCTCCCATTGTGGCAGATAGTCATATGTTGCAAAACTTCCTTCATCGTGTTGCAATGAGGCAAATTGCAAGGTGTTCGGCCATTTGCCGCTTCAGCAGGGTTCTAACAACATAATAGGTTTAGACTTTGCGAACATCTCTAGTTCCTCAAAAACCACTCACCCGCTCTCGCTGTTGACACTTATGCGCATGCAGTAACAGTACTAATTGTTGTTGGATCAACTTCCGCTTCTCGGGATCTTGAGTTCCCGGGGTCAACGGCGTTCCTCCTGTTCGTTGTGGTGGTTGGGATACGGGCCCACCTTGCATCTGTTGGTGTGGGTGTGGCTGCTGTCCAGCAGAAGGTGCTCCATTGGGCATTTGCATCATTCCCTGAAGAGAGTAAAGATTAGATCAAGATTCACTAAATAGGCATCATTTACAGTAGTGCCATCTTCTTACCGGAGGTTGTTGTGCTGGTCCAGCTGCACCAGGTGGCCGATTGGGGATTTGATGAGGTCCATTTGACTGGGACGGGTCCATCATCATCATCTAATCAAAAAATTATCTCGAGCGCTTTCAAAAACTATTTGGAATTACCGGTGGCCCTTGTGGCGGTCCAGGATGTCCAGGCATCATTCCAGGATATGGTTGCCTGTTCATAAAGCCCTAAAGAGTAAGATTTCATCATAAAAAAGCAGGCTGGGCTACTCAATTTCCGAAATAAACTCAGTGCTTGCCTGAGGAGGAGGACCACCCATGAACTGATCCGGTCGCTGTCCTTGGAAAGGCGCATTTGGGTTGAATGGTTGCTCCATCATTCCAGGATGTCGCATCATGCCTGGCATCATTTGTGGCATACCTAAAAATGTCTCAGGAGTAAATTCCACGAAAATCAAATGGATAATCTCTACTTACCAGGTCGACCAGG